TTCCATCTGTTCATTTATTGAATTTATGACACATATGCATTTGGTTCATTTATACTTGCTTGACTAATGTGGATGGATATAGTCATGTATTGTTCTTGTTTTTTTATTTTTGAAAAAAATATTCTTTTATAACAATGAACACTTTCATCTTTAATAATATAATGACTTTACCTACTTCAATTACCTTTTTCACAGATACAGTGCAACAAGCAAGAGTAATGAAAGCATCTTTTAATTCAAAAACACAGTTTTAACCACAACTACATGATTAAAGTATTCATACACCACAAAATGGGGCCATATTCTGGTAAAATGGTTTATTTTTTCTGAGACTTCTTTTCAGTTCCTAAAAACTATTATAGATGATGCCAGACACTGAATCACTAAAATAAAAATACAGATACCCATATAAAATGGATTAGTTGCATATATCTAAGATGTCTTTAAATTTACTGAAAAGGCAAGTAATCAAGTAAGATTATTCATAGTCAGCATTAATTTTAACTCTAGCTACTGAGGCAGATGATTACTTGTTGACAGGTAATTAGGATAATGTTAATTGAAATGATGCACTAACCTTAATATCTCCTTTAATTTCCTAGCTATCTTTTAATGTCCCAAAATAAACATAGTGAGCCAAATTTTCAAATGAAGGGAACTTTTTTTCTCTCTCTTTGGTGGTGCAGAGGGCCACAACCCAAAGCGCAAATGCTTAGCAGAGAATTCCCCTCTAATGGGGAAATCCCTATTGGTGCATTTCTCCACATGAAGAAAAGAGCATCAGGCATCTTCATTCAATCATCACTCCTCCACTGGCTTAAAGGTTATCCTCTTAAGACCCAACGCCATTTGCAGAATGCAGAGATAATTAGGAGTAGTTCTAACCACCATCAGAGCTAGCATGGACTGGAGGATCAGGAAGCCTGAACCATTTCCCTGATAATCTCTCCTCCTTCCTGCAACAAGTCCAGCAGGGTTCCATAAAGCAGCAGTCCTTCTTCTTTTACGTTAATGGAGCTACATCCATTTACATCCACTGAGCGTCTAACCCTAGGCATTCTGAAATAAGAGACGGTGATGCTGCAAATTAACAGAGTGCAGTTTCAAAAAAAATGGCTGCACTACTGTAGCAAATTATTATATAAAGTCTGACAGAAAAATTAAAAGGCA